GCCATTGATCCCTTAGATAGTCTGGAATTGGGTCGTCCCAACCAATGTTCATCTTCCATAGACTCTGCACCATAATCTTGGCTTCCAGCAAAACRGGACTGATAAATCCGATTGGGTCGTACAAAGAGCTTATTGCAGATAAAATCCMACGCTTTGTTGATGGTTTGCTCGGCTCGTGTATCTTGAATGAGAAAACATCTTCTTCTACATTCCAGTGCACTCCTAAAGTTCTTTGAACTGGGAGTTTATCAAGATCCAGATTGATCAAAGGTTTAGACCTTTCTTCTTCAGGTATAGTCGAAAGAACTTCACGATTATTGCTCATCCATTTAGTCAAATGGAATCCAGACTTCTCAAGCAGGCTTGTCAMTTCACCCACCAAMATCTTTGCTTCTTCTTCAGTACTGACCGATTTTACAAAGTCATCAACATAGAAATCGTTCTCAATAGCATCAACAGCGGCCTYACTAGSACAGTCTTTGWTGTCCTGAGCTACCCTCTTCAAACAGTAGTTTGCGCAACTTGGTGAGTCTGTTGCACCGAAAATATGAGTCGTCATCTGGAACTCAGATACTGTTTCTAGTTCTTCGTCGTCCCACCAGAGAAACCTCAGGKCATCAGCATCAGAAGACGGAACCTTTACTTGKTTAAACATGCCCTCTATGTCGGCGACTACAGCGACTGGCTCCTGGCGGAACCTCAGGAGAATACCTAGAAGGCTGTTGGTTAGGTCAGGTCCTTGATTMAACTGGTTATTTAGGGAAACACAATTATGCTGGGCAGCTGCGTCAAAAACTACGCGTATCTTGTCCTTCTTCTGTGGGTGGAACACTGCATGATGTGGTAAGTACCAAGTTTTGTTGKTTCGCACATTCGCCTCAGCTGCTGTCAATMGTCTTGCGTATCCTTTGGTAAGCAGATTATTYATGAAGTCTCTGTATTTCCGATGTAACTCGTCGTCACGTTTCAGCTTTCTCTTCAAAGGCTTTAGCCTTGTTTCAGCTAATATCTTATTGTCCGGCAACCATGGTTGTGAGCTCTTCCATAGCATTCCAACTTCGTAATGACCATTCACTAAGCGAGTTGAATCTTGCATTTTCTTCAAGCATTCTTGATCGTTAACAGATAGCGATGCAATGTCACCTTTGACGTTCATGTCAATGTCTTCTAGTCTTAGAAACTGACTCATTTGTTGGTCAGTCAGTTCAGTTCCAAACTTTACATAGTTCACATTAACTACAGACGCTTGGTAATTGTTCACACTACCAACTGGTCCAAGTACTGCCCATCCAAGTACAGTTTTGACCGCAAACGGTTCACCTTGTTTACCGATGCGTTGTTCAATTTGAATGTGCGCTTGAGGAACGTTGACTCCAATAAGCATTGTAACTTCGCTTTCATCAACGTCTGGGATTTCAATGTCCTGTAGGTGCGACCATTCTGACAAGTCCTTTGGTTTACAGGTATCAACTGTTAGTTTTTCGATTACTTTCACATCGTTAACTCTCAGAGCAATGTCTTCTCCAGAAATAGGCTTAATCTCCAGGTCAACAAGTCCAGCTTTCACCATTCCCTCTCCATTAAAAGTGCAAACGTACATATCATGGGGTTCTTCGACACAAAGTTGAAGTTTGTCAACGATTTTCTTTGATACAAAAGTGTCCTCACTTCCAGAGTCTAAAAGTGCGTAAGTAGTTACAAAGGTGTCATTACTACCCTGTATCTGTACAGGCACAACTTGAAGAGCAATGCGTTTCTTGGTACGGGTATTTGCATGACCATTTGACTGGGTTACGTTCGCAGCTGTGTATGTTACACTCTTTGTACTCGTCTGATC